TGTACACTGAGACATAAACACACTCTACACTGAGACACACACTGTACTCTGAAACACACACATTGTACACTGAGACACAGACAAACTGCACATTGAGAAATGCACTGTACACTGAGGCACAAACACTTTCCACTGAGACACACAAACAGAGTACACTGAGACACACATGCTGTACACTGAAACACACACACTGTACACTAAGACACACACACACACATTGTACACTGAGACATACACACTGTACACTGAGATACACACACTGTACACCACAAAACAGGCACACTGCACACTGAGAAATGCACTGTACACTGAAACACACACACTGTCCACTGAGACACACACACAGTAGAGACTGAGATACACTGTGCACTATGACACACACATTCACTGTACACTGAGAAACACTCTGCACACTGTGACACACCCTGTACACTGAGACACACACACTGTATACTAAGAAACGCATACACTGTATACGAAAACACACACATTGTACATTGAGATGCACACACTCTGCACTGAGACACACGCACTGTACACTGAGAAACACACACACACAAACATAGTACACTGAGAAACAGCCTGCACACTGAGACGCACAATCGAAACTGGGACACACATTGTACACTGAGAAACACACACTGTACGCTGAGAAACACACACTGTAAACTGAGACACACAATGTACACTGAGACACACACACACAGTACCCTGAGACACTCACACATTGTACACTGAGACACTCACACACTGTACACTGAGGCACACAGACACATTGTACACTGAGACACACACACTGTACACTGAGACACACAGACACACTGTATATTGAGTCACATATACTGGATGCTGAGACACAAACACACTGGACACAGACACAATTAATGTACACTGAGATCCACTCACACTGTAGACACACACACAGTATACACTGAGACACAACACACAGACACACACACAGTATACACTGAGACACAACACACACACACACACAGAGTCACAAACTGGAAACTAAGGCATAGTCAATGAACACTATGGTGCACACACAATACTTTAACAAACACAAACACTTAATACTGAGACCCTCTCACATTGTACACTGAGACACACATTAGGAACACAGTCATACTTACCCTGTACACTGAGATATGCTGAATATTGAGACACACTCACTGTGCACTAGGACATAAACTGGACAGAAAGACAGACACACACACGCACACACTGTACACTGAAAGACACACACACACACATACGAAACTGACAAACACACAATGAACACCAAGATACAAACACAGTGAACATTGAGGTTCACTTGCATTGTGCACTGAGACACTGGCACTGTACAGTGAGGCACAAACTCAATGAACACTGAGACATACACACTGTACATCAAGACAGACAGATGCTGAACACTCAGACACACACTATAGACTGACACACACACTATATACTGAGACTCACACTGTACACTGAAATACACACACACACACACACACACACACACACACACACACACACACACACCTAAGCACAGTGACACAAACCCATAACATTGTGTGACAGGCACATTTATGCTGTGGCAATCTCATACTGAAGGCTGTACACCATGTGTAATTTTGCTGGCCAGACGTGTAGCTGTGCTGCACACAAGTGTACCTGTGCCAGTCACGTGTAGCTGTGTTACCCATGCTTCTAGCCATGTTGTGCATGTGTGTAGCTGTGTCACCTGGATGTGTAGCTGTGCGCATATATTTGCAGTTGCATTGTCCACACATGTAGCTGCGTCGCCCTTGTGCCTAGTTGTGTCATCTATGCATGGAGCTGTGCTGTCCACATGTGCAGATGTTGCTCACGTGTGTAGGTGTACCATCCACGCGTGTAACAGTACCATGCCCTCACAGTTTTTCTTTGTGCGTAGACCATACTCCTATTGAATTGACTAAGTGGCGGGTCAGCTTACAACCTCCACCCTCAACGGCCTTGATTCACCAGCTTTTGTTGGGTTGGCACTGCAGGGTGAAGCTGGATGCTCTAGTGTGTCCCTTTCTCGGGAATCCGCACCCGCCAACACCCCTGGGTGCTGTTCCTTTCAGGTGGTGGTGGGCACATAGCCCTCTCAGACGAACAGTGCGGCTCTGTCTATGGGAATGGCAGCTTTCATTCAGAACCTGTTGTATTCCAACACCACCAACACGCCCCCCACTCCGAGGAAGTGTTTCCTTGGTGACCGCCTACCTGCTGCAGGTATGCGAGGCCACGAGATGAATCGTACGCTGAGCATACAGCTCCTCTGGGGCAGGGTTTGTGGTTGTTGTGAGGCCCCACACGAGACTGTGGTGCCAGGCAGATTACAATGAAAGCAGCTTAAAGGAGGAGAGTGGCCCTCAAAGGAAACATCCTCAAGTTGAAACCAGGAGAACCTGTTCCGCTAGCTTCCTCGCGCAGCTCGACACACAACACGAACAGTCACACCGGCAGCAGCTCCCAGAGACAATGGGAGAAAGAGAGAGAGAGACCGACCGACGCAGCAAACTGGACTGAAACAAGTGAAGGGAGGACAGCAGCAAGCTGCAAGGGTTTAACCACAGAGTTAAGAACACCAGGTCAATTCCATTGGAAGGCTGCAACTGCCAGGAGGCCTGGTGGGACAGAGCCAAAGGGAAGGACTTGCCTTCAGCTCCCCCGGCTGACTTATTCAGGCTCCTCTACGTTAGGTGGAAAGGCGGCGAGATTTTAACCAAGGGCAGAGAGCAAGATGTACACCTGAGTGCGACCATTCTGTGAGAAACAGCTCGGGCTCACCATCCAGACAGCCACCGCTGGGGTCAGGGAGCAGGCTTTGGCTCAACTGAACAACTGGTGACTGGTCGCGGGGAGAAGCCGGGTAAGTGAAGGAGATTCTCCTGTCAGGTCAACAGCATGAGGCACCTCAGAAACTTAGAGTGCGGAAGTGGAGAGGTGTTGTAGTGAGGGGGCGGAATGGTGAGTTTGTGACAGGGAAGGTGGCTCTCCCTCAGATGGTGTGAGGCCCACGACGCTGCCGGCTTTAGAGGTTACCATGACGCCAGAGGGGAATGGCTCCGAGTGCGAATGCGCGGTCTGCTGGAACCCCTACGACAACGCCTTTCGCATGCCGAAGATCTTGGAGTGCAGGCACACTTTCTGCCTAGAGTGCCTGGCCCGCATGAGCCTGGCGTCCGTGCCGGAGATGGATCCAGGCATGTCCTGCCCCCTGTGCCGACACCTCACGCCCCTGGGCGCCGGGCAGTTGGTGACAGGCCTGCGCACAAACACAGAGATTCTCGGCCGCATGAGGCTGCAACCTGTCCACGTTTATCTCGACCATGGGCGCCTGTTCTACAAGGGGCCAGGCAAAGCCAGCTTCTTGCTGCGTCGGCCCACCGTCTACACCCTGAGCTTGGATGTGGAGCGAGAGGGCGGACCCCCCCTGCGCACTCAAGCAGCACCAGCCCTGGAAGACCAACTGCCCCAGAATACCATGTGGAAATGCTGTCAGAGCCCACCGTGCAGAACCGCCATTTATATCATGATCGCCACTTTTGGGATCACCATCATTCTCGTCATCTCACTCTTCTGGACTAAGAAAATCCTGTGGGATTTGGGCTGAGAGAAACTCCTTGCATTTATTTAGCACCTTTCCTATCCTCAGGACGCCCTAGAGTCTTTTGCTCCTCATGAAGTACTTTCTGTTTAGTTACTGTTGCACTGTACAAACGGCAATTTGCTCCCAGCAAGCTCCCTGAAATAGCCATGTGACAAATGCCCAGATAATCTGCTTTAACCATGTTGGTTGAGGGATAGATATTGGCCAGGGAACTGGGATGAAACCCCCTCTGCTTTTCTGCTCCAATGGTACTGTGGGATTTTCTACTGCTTGAGAGGGAAAACTGTTTCATGTCAGGTCCAAAAGACAGCATCTTTGCAAGCTCAGTAATGCTTTGGAGTGTCAGCTGGTTTATGTGTTAAGTATCTGGAAGAGGGAGGTCTTGAACCCATAACCTTCGGCTTCAGAACGCAGGAGTTCCCAGCTAACTCATAGCTGATCCCTGACAGACACCAGCAGCATTCCAGTGAGACGGGTCGGCATTCTCATAAGGGGTATCAGGTTGGTGTTTTGGTCTAAACTCGGCTGGTCTATTCCTCACAGGGAGGGTCCCCAGTCCCTGCAAAGTTTCAGAGACGAAATCCATATTATCATCATTTCACATGGACACTCCTAAGGCGCAATGTCACAGTTAGGTTACACAAGGTCATGTGCTCTCTATGGGGAAGCATTGTGACATCATCATGTATTACTCTCCTACAAAATCACTCAGTGCAACTTTGAACTGTGATGGTACCGTCAAAAATTGGATAGATGTGGTGAGATGCCACTTAGATCAGGGTCAAGAGTCACAATGACATCTCAACACAACTACTTTAAAGTGGGACACCGAGGCAATATATCTGTTCAATATACACCAGGATACCCTCACAGCCCACTCAGGGACTGGTACATACATACTTAGTCAAACACTAACCACCATCCAAGTGAGGGTCTAGTACACTAATCCCCATCCGACTGAGGGTCTATTACACTAACCCCCATTTGAGTGAGGGTCTAGTACACTAACCCCGCATCCGACTGGGGATCTATTACAATAAGCCCCATCCGAGTGAGGGTCTCGTACACTAAACCCCAACCGAGTGAGGGTCTAGTACACTAACCCCATCCGACTGAGGGGCTAGTACACTAACCCCCATCTGACTGAGGGTCTAGTACACTAACCCCCATCCGAGTGTGGGTCTAGTACACTAAACCCCATCCGAGTGAGGGTCTAGTACACTAA